AATCCAAAATCTAATCATTTCGAGGTCTCATCAAGACCTACCCACCTACCAAATATCAAGTCAATCCATTTACGCCTTCTCAAGTTATCGTGTTTACAGACGGACACACTATACATGTATTAGTATCGACTTCTTACGATTATAATGAATAAATACATGTATGAATGAGCATTTATTAATGTCATTACAGTGCAGGTTGATGAAATATCAGTGTTGCAAGGATGGCGTCTTACTATATCTAAAGGGGCTAATGTAAAGGTTCAGCCTCTCGAGTCTTGACGAGGGTGAAGGCCAAACGTAAGCAAAACCGCATTTCTCTATCGTATTTCGGACTCCAGAAGCCTGGCATTTAGTACTTAATACTGCCTATAATCCACATTGGCATAAGAAAACGCCTGCTGATAGACCATCAGCCGGCACGTTTTGATGTACTCTTATTTAGTGTTTAATGGCATTAAGGCATTAATTTTACTCTCCCTAGTTCCGCAATCAGAGCAAGATAGGATTACATGCAGATCTAGGACCATTTAATAATTGCTTCAGCATTTTAATTGGATGACTTTCATTCGGGATGATTTCGGACTTTCTAATGATCCTTGGCTTTGAATTTTAACTTCTATACATATAGTTGACCTTGACCGTTGTCTTTGGAAAATCTACCCACATACCAACATCTTTACGATCAATTCAAGCTTCTTAAGTTTTATTGACCATAAATATGCATGACTTCAAAGACACGCAGACAACAGAGACCTACCGATGGATTGTAAAAGATGTAGGGGGCTCTTGAAATTAAGCCAAGTTAAACCTACCGACCCAGGTACGTGTACGTCAGCGTAAAACTGTGTTCGCAGCTGGAGCTATTTGGATGAAGGGCGCCTAGGTGATGCTTGTATGACTTCCCGCAAATATTTGTACAAAAAAGTCTGCTGACGCACTGCATCTATATGTAGGTAGAAAAATAACCTCTTTTGTTAGGGTTCGCGCTAACCCGTGGATTTTTCCGTGAATTATTTACTTTGTCTTGCGGAAGTGCATTAGTCAGTAGCTGGGTACCCGTCACAAAACGTGGCACAAAGAAGACTTAAAAGAAATGACAATTAGCAGTTCCTAAAGAGAGTCAAACGTGATAGGCATACTTCAAATATTACACCCTGGTGTTAGGAAGAAACAAATCTGACAAATCATCGTTACAGGTCTTGATTTCTGCAGCTAGATAAATTAAATGAAATACTTTTTTTTTAAGTAACTGTAAGCATGGCTTCATTAAGGCGCTTGGTAACCTAATTTGTGTTTAGTCATGCGCGAAATTAAAAAAAAAAACAGAAGCTGGTGGCAATCTCCGGCCTGTTATGGCATGAGTCATCTAAAGATTGGCAACGTTAGTAGCTTTTACCAGGTGATGTGAATAAGAGATACATGTATTAAGCGATCACAACAAGACAACTTTCAACCCTTTATAACATCTCTGCTAGGCCTTATATGAGCGCGCCAGATTATTAAGAAAATTCTATAAATCTATTTAGTTCAATAATTGACGACGAAACAATTGTGACATTTGTAACTGTAAACGTAAGGATCACTGGCAGGTATTTATTATGAAAATAAGCACTACCTAATATGATTAATGAGTGAAAAAATTTCTGGTAATAATGGTAACAAATTCAAAACTGCCGGATTTTGGAAGATAAGTGAAGTCAAGTTAAGTTATAACCTTACTTACATGGTTTATGCAGAGATGTTAGAATAACATTCTTTCTTAAGATAAGACTGTCCTTTTGTGGACAATATGATCAACTGATATAATTCATGCAAATAGACTCTCATTTGCATGAAAGTTGGGTTATACCAAGTTCGAGATATGTGTTCGACAAAAACCGTCACATGCCTTAATAGACCTGACCTAGCTTGGTGCGTGTCATACTCTAGCTCCAGTCTACTTCTATCTAAAGATAAAAGGCAATCAGTTGATACGTTCTGGCGCAACCGGATTCTTGTATTTTGTAAAATGGCGTTTAGAGGTAATTCTAGTCTGGTTGTCTCTCGATTTCCACCATTACAGTGCATGTAGGGTAACTTGCACATTTGAAAACATTTAAATTTACAGAATTTTAATTGGGTGGCTTCGATTTAAGATTATTTGGGACTTTCAAATAGTCCCCACTTATTTCAGCCGTAAAACAATATCTATTGGTCTCACACATGCGTCAAAGACAGACATTGTCGCGTCGGCCCTTATGCATAATTACTCCGTCTTTCTAAGATTTACCCACGTACCAGACGCCTCTAACTTAGGTCCTACAAATGGATTGTAAAAGCTGTAGGAGGCTCTTGAAATGACGTTTTGTTCCTTAAGAAGATTAATTTCACCCGTAAATTGCACACCTGTTCAATTGCTTTGTTACGTCAAATGTTTTGAGTTTACCAGTTTATTGTTAGGTCAGTACCTGCTTATGATATAGTTCTGCTTTTCACACCTTCATTTCACATTGGGAAAACAGCTTAACCATAACAGTACCCGACATAATAATGCATTGGTGAAGACAAAGATTTTACACCTTACGAAGCGATGGGTCTTTAAAAATTTTATTTGGGGGTAAGGGTAGACTCATTCGAAGGCTTAGGGTGGGGTTCGTGTGGCGCAACGGCTCGCTCGGTTCGAGTCCCGACAAGAAACCGATCATGTGCCCTTAGAAAAGGCACTTCACACGACTTTCCTCACTTCGTTCAGGTGAAAATGAGTATTGTCCTGTCCTATATTTAAAACCTGTGTGTGGGACTCAGCAACAGCTGCCTGTGTCCCAAGCGCACTGTATTGTTGAAATCCAATTAAGCAAATTAAATCAAATCGAGACTTGTTGAACCGTTAGCCTGGGTAGTTTTGAAACGGTCCAAGGTTCCCATATACAGGGCGCTGTCACGGCGCTATCTCCGCGACCTGAAATTAGCCAGAGCGCGGAGAGACACGAAAAACGTGTTTATACCCCCATTCTCTCTTTCTCTGCGACCTGAAAATGGCCAGAGCGCGGAGAGAGCGCTGAACTCCACGAGAAACGTGTTTATACCCCCATTCTACTATGACCCTCTTTCGCTGCTCTCTCTGTCTCTGCGACCTGGAAATGGCCAGAGCACGGCAAGGGCGCTGAACTCCACGAAAAACCTGTTTATACCCCCATTCCACTTTGACGGCTCTCTCACTGCTATCTCTCTCTCTCTTGGCCAGAGTGCGATAAAAGCGCCATGAGCGCCGTCACCTCGGGGAATTTTCGAAGGTAACCGGGTCATACCATCGCCGTGAGAGCGCCGAAGACGGTGATGCAACAATGGGCGCCTTGTGAGCGCCGCGAAAGCAGAAAAATCGCGGTGAGCGCCGTGAGAGCGCAATGCGAATCCATAAAAGCGCACAACGGCCCAAACATTAATTTCGACACAAAACATGGCGATCTCGGCGCTTTCTCCGCGCTGCGACTAATTTTAGGTCGCAGAGAGAGCGCAGAGGAGCGCAATAAGAGCCATCTAGTGAAACGGGGCCTTATTTTTACACCCATAATCTAAATAAGTTACAGGATGTACAAGAATGGCTTTGAAAGCGAGAAAACAGAATTTCCTTAATTCGTTGAGTGAGCTATGAATTCGTTGTTCGCCCAAAACGTTACGTTGCTGACATTTGAGATTTTGGTCGAGACTTGAGCACGGAGTTCGGCGCTCTCCTCCCTCTGACGAATTCCAGGTCGCAGAGAGAGCGCCATTAAGTGGAATGGAGGCCTTAAGTGAAACCTCTCTGGCGACCTTTCTGCGCTCTCTGCGCGATTAAACATTTAAATATCAGCAACTTTCTGAGCGAATAACGATTTCACAGCTCACTCAATGAATTACTGAAATAGAGAACGAATTTTTGTTTTATTTTATTGTTTTCACAGTGCTTCTTGTACACCCTGCATCATATTCAAATTATGTAATGAAGGTGTAAGGCCCCATTACGGCGCTCTTACTGTGATCTCATGATGACTGAGCTCTCTCTGCGAGGTGAAATTGTTCCGAGCGTGGAGAAAACGCCAAAAGATTCCCAAGGTCACCATGTTTAGATTAAAGATTTTGTGTAGACCGTTTTGAGTTCTCATGGCGCTCTCACTGCTTATTTTGAATCGCCGACCACAGCGCTCTAATGGCGACGGTATGAGCCGGTTCAAAACAGTCACCGAGGTGACGGTGCTCATGGCGCTCTCAGCGCGCTCCGGCCAATTCACGTAACAGACAGAGAGAGCGCAGTGAGAGGCATTATACCCTTGATTTCATCATCTAAATATGATGCAGGATGTACGCTCATCAGGCCACACCGTCTTAATTTTATGGATGACATCTGCGCGCGCATTGATTTTTGCCTGTTCTAAAAAAGAAAAAAAATCACGTCCACCTAGGCTTTGACCTGGCTCTAGGCCTGGGTAGTTAGCAACAATACGTAGCCGGGCACCCAGGCTACTAAAGCTCCACGACTCAAGAACTTAGTACATAAATTCCAGCCAACATGTGCCGGTTTGTCGTGTACGTCGCTATGTTATGCAGCAAATTCACAATACCAGCTTTGTATTCTCAAAGACTGATGAAAGCTCCTTGGTATTCCTGTGGTTTAGTAGCATTTTTATTTTAGGCCGATTTTTTTTCTTAATTCGCCCGCGCGCACTAATTTGGGGGTCTTCAGAGGATGCCATCCATAAAATTAAGTCGCCATGTGCGCCTTCACTTCTTTTACGGTTTTCCTTAGACCAGAGAAACTGCTAAACGTGATCCTAATATAGCTTAAATTGTGGATGAAAAAAAAAGTTGGTTTAATAGACGGTTAACATGCCTGGTATTTTACCTATATATTTCGCTAATGTCTTTTCATACAGATTTCGAAGCCTGGTAGAAGCTATTGAAACAACACAAAGCGATATTATAGTTATCTATAGTCATTGTGAGTGATTTTAGGAATGATTCAGGAAAATAAAGTCTTCACTTACCCCCGAAGTTGGCCAGCGGCGAAACACATGAAACACAGAAGCGCGACACAGCTGACTTGCAGGGCCGCCATGTTCGGCACAACAACGTTAGACGTGCCAACCTGGCTATGCCAG